GGCGCCAGTGAGACTCAACACCCTTTGAGGCTAAGAGATTTATTAGAGCAGCGGCTACAGAGAGAGGGAAGAAGGTCTGTAACTGCCTGGTAGGGAAGGGGGAGTGAGAGAGCTAGGGCGAGAGAGGTCTGTATTTATCGGTTTGGGAGGGGGCGGCAGTGCTCTATCGGAGCCTGGCGGTGCCGGCCAGTGCCTTCTTAGGGTCTTTATTGGAGGGAGCTATGAGGTAGTATTCCTATAGGGAGATAATATTTGTGTAGAAGTTTAAGTTTCTCGGGAAGAGCAGGAGTTTAGAGCCTTTGTTGTCTTTGTTTGCCTCCATGTGGTGTTTTAGCGCCATCTCGGGAGACTCTCTTCTGACTGTTCCCTGTGCCTTTCAACCATCAAGTCCGGCATTCTTTTTTTTTTTTTTTTTTTCAGTTGTAGTCCCACTCTGTCACCCAGGCTAGAGTGCAGTGGCACGCACGGCCACCTCAGCGTCAACCTGCTGGGCTCCTGATCACCTCAGTCTTCCAAGTAATCAGAACTACAGGCGCGTGCTACTGCACCCAGCTAAATTTTTATTTACTGTAGAGGCAAGGTCTCGCCAAGTTCCCCGGGCTGGTCTGAAACCTGCAGGCTCAGGCAATCCACTCGCCTCGGCCTCCCAAAGCGCTGGGATTACAGATTGAGCCACCAAGCCCAGCCATAGTCCAGCATTTTTAATGCTTTTCTGGACATTCTAATCTTGCTTCAATATTCCTCCAAATCAGTTGCCAGGTTACAGAGATAAAGTTAGTACCACCTTTAAAGAAAAATACCACCGTCCTTGTAGATTCTGGGAATGAGAGGGCCATTTTCTGAGAACTGATTAAACTGCATGCTGGTAGGTGCTGGTAGGTCCTGTGCAACAGTACACTGGAAGAGCCCTTGGGCTTAAGTGCCATTGAGTCTTGACAAAAATTAGGAAGGGCAAGTAAAATTAGGAATGCCAAAGGTGGAAGCATTCTTCTCACTTGCAGGGTGCCCTGTGTAACAGGCTGGGTGTGACCAGAGTCAAGGAGGGTGAAAGTATTCACTGAGACAGAGATGGATTGAGAAAGATGGGTTTATTAAAGAGAAGATAACATTGAGAGGGCCACAATGGGCAGGATAGCAGCAAGAATGTCTACTGTCTGCAAAGAGTTGGTGGCCTGAGGCTCTTTCCAGTAGAGTTTGACCCTCTTTTTGTTAGGGTGGGTTTTAGGGTTCCGCTCATGTATTTGGGTTCCGGCCATGTAAATGAGGCAGTTCTGATTGGTTGATGTTTGACCTTGATTGTAAACCCCTCATGAGCCAGTGTAAGGTTTGTAAAGAGGCTGGTCCAGATTGTCAGGGTTTGTTTGTTTTAACAGCAGCAATTGACTGCTCTTTGTCACGGAATCAGCAAATGTTTTACAGCTTGCTATTCAGCTTTTACAATTCTATCTAATTTTGAGATTTCCTTCCTCAATATAGTTTACCTAATTTACCCAATTGATATTGGCCTAATTGAGTTTCATGTTCCTCCACACTCGGTAGGACAAATTATTTCTAATTATTAAAATTAGATTGATAAAAGTTATTAAAATTATTAGTGTAGAAGTATCATGACATAAGGTGAAATAGTTTTGAAGTGGTTTTAAACTTGTCCTTGGCACAGTGTTATATGCTCATTCTTGAGGAGATGTTGGAACTAGTCTGATCTTGAGTCTGTCAGACTTGGGAGAGTAAGTAATGCAAGTAGGGAGGGGTTATCTAAATCCAGTTGATTTTCTTGTCTCTTCAGACCTTACCTCTGTAAAAATCTCATTGATTCTTTTTTTTTTGTCATGGGTTCTTGATTACTCCACATGACAGAAATGAATACAGGGTATGTTGTGGAATTTGCTGTGCCCCTAAATTCAAAACAATTTAACTGTACTGAAATCAAGGTTTAGCCAGTCGTCCACGTTGCACTTCCCCAACCTCCTTGCACTTTCTGTTGCAAATGTTCAAGTGACAAATATGCACCAGGGACTAATCATTGTACTGCAACCATGACCCAACACATGCATAATACTGTCAATTCAATTAATCTGGTCGGGCTGAGGTAGAAAAGATAGTGTGAGAGAATGCTGTAACAATCAAATCAAAGATAACTTAGTATTTTTGAGAAAACATTACAGAACTTTTGAACTTCACGTACAATTAATTCTCAGAAAAAAGGATGAATTTGGCTTAACCTAAGGTGATAATGCGGATTTCTTTAGGCAGCTGTCAAGCCATTATGTCTATACAGTAAAGCATCCTCATGATCAACCTAGAACTAAACTAATTTTATAGAGTAAACTTTCCGACAGTAGAGAACTTTGTTATTGTGTTTTCATCTGAAAACGTGTGTTTCTTTCTCTTTCTTGTCTTTACTTCATCTTTTCGTCTTTTTCACATTGGGTACCTATACCAATAATAACCCTGTTGATTGGTTGAAAGGACAAAAGATGGAGCCAATATAGCCAAAGAGCAGCCATTTTAACATTGCTTAGCTGTGCCATGTTTTTCTGGCAGTTCACTTTACCCTCTAGTGTCAAGGACAGAACTGGTTTCTCAGAGGTAGCTATTGATAACTGTTTTTCAGCCCCTCCCCAGTTTGTTTTGTATTAATGAGCTTTGCTATTACAGGTGTTTGCCTCTAGCCAGAAGAAACCAAGTTAACCAAGTCAGCCCTTCGTGACCTTCATGACACAAATGGACCTCATCAGCATGGCAACAGTCATATGACAAGCCCACCCATCTGCTTGCCGTCCATCACCTGACCTTAGTATCTGTGCTTACCTGCCCTTTTGTGATGATGTAAAATCAACCTCCACCCAGTCACCTTAATGACCTGCCCCCATCAATGGGAAGGTTTAAAAGGCAATCAGCAGCTGCAGTGCTTTTGTTAAGTCCTGACCCAGCCACATGACTCTTTGAGCTCTGGCCGGGCCATGTTTCTCTAAGCTTTGGCCCCCCTCCCCTACCTTGGGACACTGGCACCCTGGTCTGACTTAATACTGGCACAGCAAGTTATTTCTCCATCTTCTGTTTCATTTTATCCATTTTCTTTTTATTCTCATCTTTCATTTTTGCTTTGTATAGCTATGATAATTTTTTTGTTTGTTTCAGAGCTTTATTGTCATCATAACTCAGTTGCAGCTTTTCTTTTATCTTGCATTGTGGTCTTTGGCAGCTCCTGTACTGATAATCTGATTCTGCCCTACTTAGCCAAACTGGTGCCCAGCAAATGTTCTTTGTTGTAGTCAGATTGCTTTCTTCTCCTGCTGGCTTCTGGGCCTTTGGTACATGTTATTCTGTTAAACTGAAATGCTTCCCCATCCTATGCATCCTACCCCATCTCTGGTGCCAACTTCTTAAAGTTTCTTTCACTGCAATTTACATTGATCTTTCCGTTCTCAGCATTTCTAACATACCAATTGCAAAAGCTTTACATTTAACTTGTCTCTAAGAACTTCATATGTCATGCATTCTTCTTGGGGGGAGAGTTATTTTTTCATGGTCAAGGCAGTGAGTGAAGTATTTATTTCTGTATTTTTGCCTTTCTTCAACAATGATTATTTCGACAGCTTCCTATTAATGGTCATCTTTCAATACTTTTTTACCTCCAACCCAAGAAACGCTGAAATTTTCTTGATATATTATCTGTCACTTTGGCTTACTTTGTAACAAGTTATGTAAATTGTCTCTCCTGTTATGTATTTTTAGAGGGAGACGGTAATTTTGCTATCTTTGCAACCACCACTGTCTTTCAAACAGTGCTTTGAACATAGAAGAAATGCAGTACTTACTCAACTATAGTTTG